GAGCGGGGTCAGGAGCTGAGAGGGGCTGGCAGGGAGCCCACGGCTGTAAATCCCTGCCCGGGCATCCCACGGGCTCTGCCAAGCTCCGTTCCCCACAGGAAAAGCCTCGGGTGCAGCAGGACTTCAAAGGAAATGGGGTCCCCATTTGTGGGGATCTGAATTTCCAACCCCTTTCTGATCCAGGGCATGGCCACATCTGTGGGATCCCCGAGGATTTGGGGTTTCAAAGGAAAAGGGGTCCCATTCATGGGGATGTGAATTTCCAGACCCTTCTGATGCAGGGCAGCCACTTCTGTGGGATCCCTGAGGATCTGGGACTTCAAAATCCCTAAGGATTTGGGGCTTCAAAAGGAAAAGTAGTCCCCAATGATGGGGATCTGAATTTCCAGCCCCTTCTGATCCAGGCCAGCCACATCTGTGGGATCCCAGAGGATTTGGGGTCCTCAGGGTTCACCCACAAACATTTTTATTGCCTTCAGGGTCATTTCCCACTGAGATTCCTGAGGTCAGGAGACCTTGGGAGCTGCAGGGATGATGCAGCACCCTCTACCCTGGGCTGGGCACTGCCAGGGGGGCACAGCAGCCTGGAGGGGGGCCAGGGGTGCAGCTGGAATCTCCTGAGGGTTTTGAGCAGCGTCTCCCATCCCAAACACCGGGATCTGACCCCATAAGGAGCAATGGGGATGAGTTTGGCTGCTCTCTGCTCTGAGCTTCAGGCCTCCTTGCCCAAGATGTCACCCAGATCTGTGCCACCACCCAGCACCTCCGTCAGCTCTCCCAGGTGGCACCAGCAGGGATTTGTGCCCTTCACGTGCTGTGCTGGAGAGTGGAGCAATTCGGGAGCAATGAACCCCATGGAATATGGGATCCATCTCTGAAATACCCACAGCTCCCCTTGGCACGTTCCTGCTGGGCACAGGGGGCATCCTGGCCCTGCCATCCTCCGTGGGGACTGTCCCAGCCTCCTGCTCAGTGTTCCCTATGGCATTGCCACCCTGCCCAGTGCTGTCCATGCCATTGCCACCCTGCCCAGTGCCATCCATGGCATTCCCAGTCTGCCCAGTGCCATCCATGGCTTTGCCACCCTGCCCAGTGCCATCCATGGCATTCCCAGTTTGCCCAGTTCTATCCATGCCATTCCCAGTGCCCTCCATTCATTCCCAGTGTGCCCAGTGTGATCCATGCCATTCCCAGCCTGATGGGCATTATCCATGCCATTCCCAGTTTTCCCAGTGCCATCCATGGCATTCCCACCCTGTCCAATGCCGTCCATGGCATTCCCAGACTGATGGGCATTATCCATGCCATTCCCAGTTTCCCCAGTTCGATCCATGCCATTCCCAGTGCNCTCCCTCTCCCTCTCCCTGGATTTTGGGATTTGTTTTCCCACTGGGGTTGGGTTTGGTGCATGTGGAGGTGCTGTCTCCGAAACTGTGACATGAAGCCACCACTTCCCCCTGGAGCCACTGTGTCCCTACCGGAGCCACCATGTCCCTTCTGAAGCCACCATGACCCCTGGATCTACCTTGTCCCTTCTGGAGCCCCTGTGTACCTTCTAGTGCCACCATGTCCCCTGGAGCCTCCATGTCCCTCTGGAGCCACTGTGTCCCCCCTGGAGCCACCATGTCCCTCCGTAGCCACCATGTCCCCCTGGATCCACCGTGTCCCTTCTGGAGCCACCATATTCCCCTGGAGCCACCATGTCCCTTCTGCAGCCACCATGTTCCTCTGTAGCCACCATGTCCTCCTGGATCCACCGTGTCCCTTCTGGAGCCACTGACCCCTGGGGCCACTATGTTCCCCGTGAGCCACCTTGTCCCCTCTGAAGCCACCATGTCCTCCTGGAGCCACCGTGTCCCTTCTGGAACCACTATGTCCCTCTGTAGCCACTGTGCCCCCCCTGGAGCCACCATGTCCCCCTGGAGCCACCGCATCTCCCTTGGAGCCACCATGTCCCTCTGTAGCCACCATGTCCCTTCTGAAGCCACCATGACCCCTGGATCCACCTTGTCCCTTCTGGAGCCCCTGTTTCCCTTCTAGTGCCACCATGTCCCTCTGTAGCCACTGTGTCCCCCCTCTGCCACCATGTCCCCCTGGAGCCACCGCATCTCCCTTGGAGCCACCATGTCCTCCTGGAACCACCATGTCCTCCTCAAGCCACCGTGTCCCTTCTGGAACCACCATGTCCTCCTCGAGCCACCGTGTCCCTTCTGGAGCCACCATGACCCCTGGAGCCACCGTGTCCCTCTCAAGCCACCTTGTCCCCTCTGAAGCCACCATGTCCCTTCTGCAGCCGACATGACCCCTGGAGCCACCATGTCCCCTAGGAGCCACCGTGTCCCTCTCAAGCCACCTTGTCCCCTCTGAAGCCACCGTGTCCCCCCGGAGCCACCATGTCCCTTCTGCAGCCGACATGATCCCTGGAGCCACCGTGTCCCCTAGGAGCCACCGTGTCCCCTCTGAAGCCACCGTGTCCC